AACCCCAGTCCAGCTTCAAAACTGAACAAATCTAGAGGATCTATATAAGGAAGAATAGGGAAATGAGCAAACAGAAGTGAAAGTTATTCCCTCTATCACTCAGCAGTGGAATTAAAGAGGGGGCAAATAGGAGGAGGAAAACCATCACAGATGAAGAAGAACCAAAAGAAGAACAAAGGTACCATCCAGACTCCTGGAAAGACAGCACCTGAGAATACAGACTTTGGAATATAAACAATGAAGAGATGATGAGCCCCTGGAATGACTGGTCTCAAACCACAAGCCCAGATAACAAGATATTAATAGAGAATGAATACAAATGAGGAGAGACAAGAGGAAAGAATGAAGCAGTTGATAACTGAGATAAAGAATAACTGAGATAAACTGAAATACAGAATATAGGAAATGAAATAAATACAAACTCACAAGCATAGAAAGCAGAAGTAACCATGCGAAGAAAGAATCTCAGAGCTTAGGACCAAAATATGGAACTAACCCAAACTGGTAAAAAACATAGAAAAGAAGCTTAAGAAGATGGAACAAAGGCTCCAAGAGATGTGTGATTATATCAAGAAGCCTAACCAACACCTACCTGGCATTCCTGAGGCAGACAGAGAGACAGAGACCACCATAAAACAAACATTCCATGAAATTATCCAAGGAAACTTCCTTTATCTGATCAGAGATATGACTATTCAAGCATAAGAGATTCAGAGAACCCCTGCAAGGCAACAAATGAAAAGACTAACTCCTAGACATATAGTAACTCGCTTACACAAAGTATAGAAGAAAAAATCCTAAAGGCAGAGAGACAGAAAGGTGGCCAGACTACCTACTGGGAAAGACCAATTATAATAGCAGCAGACTTATCTACAGAAACACTACAGGCTAGAAGAGACTGGAGTTCAATCTTCAAAGTTCTCCAAGACAAACAAATCCAATCAAGAATTTCCTACCCAATTAAGGTAAGCTTCATCAGCAATGGAGAATTAAAAACGTTCCCAGACATTCAATCCCTAAGAGTTCATGCTGCATCTAGACTATTTCTACAAAAGACACTTAAGAAAGTATTAAGCACAGAAGAAAAAAGAATGACCATGCTCTTCCCAAGAATGCAGGAAAAAAGTTGAAAACACACATGTATATCAACTCAAAACTCAAAAGAAAATCAGCCTCAAACGATTGGGATAAACTCTCACATCTCAATTAGCCTGAACATAAATGGACTAAATGCACTATAGAAAAGACATAGAATGAACTGGATTTTTTTTAAAATGATGCAACAATATGCTGTCATCAGGAGACTCATCTCAGCAAAATGGACACTCCTAGACTCAAAGTTAGAGGATGGAAAAAAATTTTCAGGCAAACAGAACACAAAAGAAAGCAGAACTTGCTTTATAGCAGACAAAATAACTATGCACACCTGAATGTCCTTTTTTTTTGAGCTAGAGTCTCACTCTGCTGCCCAGGTTGGAGTGCTATGCATACTCACGGACATCCCAGCGTCGACCTGCTGGGCTCCGGTGACCCTTCTGTCTCAGCCTTTCAAGTAGCTGGAACTACAGGCACAGACTACCATGCCTGGCTAATTTTTTATTTATTGTAGAGACGAGGTCTCGCCAAGTTGCCCAGACTTGTCTCAAACCCGTGGGCTCAGGCAATCCACTTACCTCAGCCTCCCAAAGATTACAGGCTGAGCCACCGTGCCTGACCCTGAATGTCTTTTGCATGTTGATTTTGTACCCTGAGACTGCCAAAGTTCGTTATCAGCTCAAGAAGGTTTTTGACAGATTCTCTTGGGTTTTCAAGGTATAGAATCAGATTGTCAGCAGAGAGCAATACTTCACTTCCTCTTTTCCTATTTAGATGCCCCTGATTTCCTTCTCCTGTCTGATTGCTCTAGGTAAAACTTCCAACACTATGTTGAACAGGAGAGGTAAAAGTGGGTACTCTTATCTTGTTCTGGTTTTCAGGGGAAATGCTTTCAATTTCTGTCCATTTAGCAATATGTTGGTTGTGTGTTTATTGAAGAATGAAAACAAACTCAAAAACCTAATGAAGTAGAGGGCTTTCTGACATCCCATAACCTCCCAAGGTTGAAATGAGAAGAAATTGAGACATTAAATAGACCAATAACAACTCAGGAAATTGACTCTGTCATGAGAAAACTACCTGCAAAAAAACCTCCTGGATCAAATAGCTTTCCAGAAGAGCTCTACAAAACATACAAGGAGGAACTGATACCAATCCTACTGAAAGTATTCTAAGCAACCAAAAAAGACGGCATACTCCCCTAATCATTTTATAAAGCTAAAATCATACTGATACCCAAACCAGGTAAAGATCCAACAAAGAAAGAGAAAACAGGTCAATATCCCTGATGAACATAGACGCAAAAAAACAAGATTCTAGCAAATCAGATCTAACAATACATCTCAAAAATCATTCACTATAAACAAGTAGGCTTCACTCCATGGATACAGGTCTGCTTCAACATTCACAAGACCATAAATGTAATTAAATAAATTAACAGATGTAAAAATAGGAATCAAATAGTTATATCACTGGACACAAAAAAAATTCAATAAAATCCAGCATTGCTTCTTGATAAAAACCCTTGAACACCTAAGTATAGAGTGAATATACCTCAAAATAGTAAGAGCCGTCTATGATAAACTCACAGCCAACATATTGCTAAATGAACAGAAATTGAAAGCATTTCCCCTGAAAGCCAGAACAAGATAATGCTGCCTACATTTAACCCTCCTGTTCAACATAGTGTCAGAAGTCCTATCTAAAGCAATCAGATAAGAGAGGGAAATCAGGGCATCCAAATAGGAAAAGAGGAAGTCAAGTTATCACTCCTTGCTGATGATATAATTCTATACCTTGGAAATCCAAGAGAATCTTCAAAGACCTTCTTGCACTGATAAAGAACATTGGCAAAGTCACAGGATACAAAATTAACATGCAAAAGACAGTCGCATTCTTACACACCAATAAAAAACAGGCAGAGAACAAAATAAAAAGCATGAACCCATTCACAATAGCGAAAAAAAAAGAAAGAAAGAAAGAAAGAAATACCGCAGCATCTTCCTAACCAGAGATGTGAAAGACGTTTACAGTGAAAACTACAAAACACTGTTCAAAGAAATCAAAGATGACACAAAAAAAAGGAAAAATATTCCATGCTCAAGGATTGGAAGAATTAATATTGTTAAGATGTCCACCCCACCCAAGGCAATCTACAGATTTAATGCAATACCCATTAAATTACCAACATCATTCTTCTCAGACCTGGAAATGACAATACACACATTCATATGGAAATAAACCACCACAAATAGCCAAAACAATACTCAGTAAAAGAAACAAAGTGGGAGGTATTACACTTCCAGACTTTAAACTTTATTATAGAGCTACAATAATCAAAACAGCCTGGTATTGGTACAAGAACAGGCATATAGACCAATGGAACAAGAGAGAGATTCTTCAAGCAAAACCTCAATTTTTCAACTCATCTGTGACAAAACCTCCACTAAGAACCACTGGGGAGAGGAGAACTTATTCGGTAAATGGTGCTGGGAAAATTGGCTGACCACATGCAGAAGATTAAAATAAAACCTTTTCCTATCACCATTCACAAAAATCAACTCGAAATGGATCAAAGACCTAAACATAAAACATCAAATTATAAGGACCTTAGAAAATGCAGGAGACATCCTTATGGAAATTGGAACTGGCAAACAACTCCTTATTAAAGCCCCAAATCCCCATGCCATAAGAGATAAGATAGACAAGTGGGGCCTCATCAAACTGAAAAGCTTCTGCAAAGCAAAATAAATCATCAAAAGAGCAGGAGACAGCCCAAATAATGGGAAAAAATATTTGCCAAATGTAAATCTGAAAAAGGCCTAACATCCAGGATCTACAAGGAACTTAAATGTGCCAAAAGGAAAAAAACAAACAGCCCTATTAAAAAGTGGGCAAAAGATATGAATAGATACTTCTCAAAAGAAGACATATAAGGAGCCAACAAATACATGAAAAAATGCTCAGCCTCACTAATCATCAAAGAAAAATCAAATTAAAAATTACACTGAGATACCACCTAACTTCGGTCAGGATGGCCATCATCAATAACTCAAAAAACAACAGATGCTGGGGAGGATGCAGGGAAAAGGGAACACTTCTCTATTGCTGGTGGGAGTGTAAACTAGTACAACCTCTGTGGTAAACAGTGTGGCAATTTCTAAGAGATCTAAAAATTAACCTTCCGTACAACCCAGCAATCCTCCTTCTGGGAATATACCTGGAGGAACTCAAATCACTCTATGAAAAAGATACCCGTACACGCATGTTTATTGCAGTATTATTCACAATAGCAAAAACATGGAACCAACCATGCTGCCCATCGAAAGTAGACTGGAATAAAAAAGTGTATATATACATGACTGAATATTACACAGTCATAAAGAAGGACATTATGAACTTCACAGCAACTTGGATGGATTTAGAGTCCATAATACTCAGTGATCTATCACAGAAACAAAGAACTGAATACCACATGCTCTCACTCATAAGCAGACTCTGAACAATTACCATAATACTATAAGGGATTGGCAGTCATGGGAAACTGCTG